TTTTGGCGACGGAATACGCGCCGATGAGAGCGAAGGGCTGATAAGCGCCGATCGAAGACATGTAGACAATGGATCCGTTTCGCCGAATGTGAGGAACGAACTCTTTGGTCAACATAAAGGCGCTCTTGACGTTCAGGGACAGGATCTGAGGGGAAAGGCGTGTGAGGGCAGCGAATGGGAGAGAAGGCATACTTTGTCGAAGGCGTCCTCTGAGGTCTGAAGGAAACGGAAGTGAGAGAGAGATAAGGAAGAGATGAGAGAAAGTATACGTCGAGAAAGAGTCCAAACGCGGGGTTGACGGCCGCGTTCGAGACGAGGATATCGACGGCGCCGAAGTCCTTGAGAGCCTGCGTGGAGGTGGGGGTGAGGAGGCGTGTGGTGGGGGCGGAGGGCGGCAAACCTGGTCGAGGAGGCGTTTGCGGTCCTCATGTTTGGACACGTGACACACGACTCCCGAAACGGTCAGTCCTTCGGATTGGAGTGTTTGGACGGCTTTTTCCACGTTTTCGCGTTTTCTGCGGACAAAGGGTTGAAAAGGACGCAAATATCGCGTGAATACCGACCGACTGCTGACCACAACGCGTGCGCCGTCTTTGGCCAGTCGTCGCGCGACTGCGAAACCGATTCTAATCGAGAGATGAGACGAGAGATAAGAGGAGAGAGGGAAGCGCGCGCCTACCCGTCCGTCGAAGCCGTAACGACGGCCACTTTGTCGGCGAGCGAGCGCTTGTTAGCGGAAGAAGACGAGGACATGAGTCGTGCGGTGTTTGGCGCGCGAAGAGCCGAAAGACGCAAATTTGCGAACATTTCTGAGATTCTTATCGCAAGTAAACAAAAGTGACGTCAGAGGAGAGTCTGCGCACAAGAGACGGAGGGGTCGGCGGAGGGGCGCCCAGAGGGACACTTCGGCGGCCACTTTGGTGGACACTGGGAGGGCGCCGGCGGCCCTGAGGGGTGGGAAACAGCGCCGCCTGTCGTCGGCCTTGGATTTGGCCTTCGAGATGTGAGAGAGAGTGCGCGCGAGTGTGAGCCGGGATTTCCGTCTTTCAGTCGCGCACTTGACTCGCATTGTTGTCCTTCAGTTCAATGAAAACTTGATTTCATTTGAAACGCATTTTCGTTCGCGAAATGACGAAAACCGACAAACAGTGAGTCCTCTGACCGTAAAAGCTGCCGAAAATCACGCTTTTCTCTCCGCAGACCCGCCGACGCGTCAAAGCCGCCGCCGCCGCTCTCTCTCCGCCAACTCGTGAGTTCTCTCTCGCTCTGCGACCGCCTTCTAACCCTTCCCTGCCTTC